GCGTTCACACGTATCATGCGCTGGGAGGACTCCACGTATTACGCCGTGCGTGCCACGGCGGAGAAGTCGCATCTTAAAATAGGGCGTGCGTTGGCGGAATTGGACGAGATTTTACGAACGCCTGTTCTGAACATTATAGCTAGCGAGGAACAGCGCTGCGAGGAGGATGCAGCCATGGGGTTTGTTCTTTCTTCCGTTCACCTCAAAGGGAAGGGAAGATCCAAGGCTCATCGTTTTACCAACGGTGGAAAAAATACTAAAAATAAAGACCAATTGTGGACGGCTTCTAAGAGAACTCGTTCCGGGAAACAAATCCCCATGGAGACCTCAGAGCCGCGAGATGGCAATGCGGTGTTTGCACACGGTTATGTGTTTCAGGGGGTACAATTCCTTACGGACGCCGCTGAAGAAATCATTGAACGTGTGCAGGCGTTGCAGGCCAATGGTGTGCCGCAGAGCCAAAAGCTGCGGGCACTGAAGACACTTTTTATTGTTATGCAGGAACAAGGTGTGCCCCACACGCACGAGGAACAATTTTCCTCATGGGAGGAGTTATTTGCATCCAAAAACGCATTATTGACATGCCGCAGCATACATGGCCATCTTGCTGTTGGAAAACGAGTTGAAGAAGCAGCCGTGGAGTACTACCGCTTTGCTCGTTGGATGCAGCGTATGCGGGATGCGGAACGACATCCACACAAGGATCTTAGTGATGCCCAGGCAAAACGTGGCACAGGCACAGTGGAGTCCTTATTCGCTCTCGCAGTGGAGGAGACAGAGTTAATTTCCATTCTCTACGAGGTACAACAGCAATTAACTCTATTGAGGGGTTGCGTGGCAAATTGCGAAGAGATCACCGTAACGGACGGGGGTAAGTTGTTGCAAGCGTCGCTTGAAGTGTGTGTTCAACTTCAATGCTTCCTGCACCAAACCCGATGGCTGTTACAAGAACGCGTCTTTTCTCTAGGTGGTGCTGTTAGCAGCATTGAGGAGCTATCCCACGGAACGGATGAACTCTGGAAACTGTGTCACTCGTCAGAAGCACAGCGCCGCACGGGCATTTCTGTGCCAGATGCCATTTTGGCGCGACACACAACACTGCACGTTCAACTGCGTGACGTTTGCAGCAAATTATGCAACACGGGGATTGGCTGCGTCGATGCCTCGGCGGCTGCGTTATGTGATGCACTTAACATGAAATCGCTGTGTCAAGATTTCATGGATGTAGCAACGGTTGACAGGAAGCGTGCACGTAAAGAGGGTTGCTCTTTGTGGCCCCAGAAAGTTCAACAGCTTGTGGAGGAGCTGAAGTCGGTGTACAAGGAGGACGCCGTTGAGACTTCAGCCTTGGGGGAGTTGGGTGGCGATGATGGCGTTGCTAATAAGGACTATACGGAGGGGACTACGATTTACCATAAATACTCCACTGCAGTGAGGGAGTTGAAGTGCGATTCACAGCGTATTGCCGTGTCACTCTGCACGTTGCTTAATGACCCGGTAAGGGAGCGCCGCATCTCGTTAGAGCTTCGACACGAGTTACTGGCACGAATTGACACCAGTCTTGAGCGTGTCGGTGCGGCTTTGCATGGCTCTGCCGTGGCGTTGCGGGCGCAGTCTCACTTGGGCCTTGTGCTCTCACGTCTCTTCTGTATTTTGTTGAAGAAGGGCTTCTGCAAACCGGAGGACCAGGACGAGGGGGAGAATGACGACGGTGAGGGTGGCGATGGGGAGCAGCAGGACGGCACGGGCATGGACGACGGACACGGCGAGAAAGATGTGACGGATCAGATCGACAACGAGGATCAGCTCATGAACATGAAGGACAGGGAGGAGCAGCAGAGTGATCGGGAAGAGGATGGCGGAAATAATGAAGAGGACAAGGCAGCTGACGTGGAGACGGATTTTAAGGGCGAAAAAGAGCAGCGCGAGGCGGAGGAGGACCAGGACGATGAGGAAGATGACGACAACGACTCCGAGAAGGAGATGGGAAGCGTCAACGGCGAGGATGCGCAGGAGCGGAAGCGCATGAAGAAGGAAAAAAATGACGGCAACGACATGAACAGCGACGACGACGGCGACGCCGAGGAGGTTCCAGAGGATATATTTGGCAACGAGGAGGCGGGCGAGGAGAACGAAGCCGATGAGAACAACGAAGAGACTGGGAATTTTGAAAACCGCGAGGAGGCGTTGCGGGAGGCGGAGAAGGAGCTTCAAGGGGGAGAACACGAGCTGGCGGCTGACGCTGGCGGCATTGCCGACACGGACGAGGACGTCGATGGCAGTGACGATGGCCAGAGCGACAGCAGTAGTAGTAGTATTAGTAACAGCCGCGGAAGGGACGAGGATGGAGAAGAGGATGAGGGCGATGAGAGGAGCCGCAGCGGCAGCGAGTTGGGAGACGCGCCGAAAGAACAACAAGGCGCAGAAGAAGACGAGGTGGACGACGAGGAGGGAAGCATCGGGAGCGACATTGACGGGGATGACGTTGATAACGACAAGGAGTCGGCCGTCTCGCACAAAAGTGACAGCGATCAGCCCGATGAGAACGTTTTTCATGGCGGGCGGCAGGACGAACACACCGGCGAGGAGGCGACAGAACGCAAGAATGAGGCCGACGACGGGGATCAGTGTGAGAAGAAGAAGCCGCAAGAGGCTGCGGGCGTGCAGCAGGAGCAACAGCCGGATGATGACCAGCAGCCTGACGATGCCGGACGAAATTGGAAGCGACAAGAGAGGAGCGATCCGTCACGACATCGTGACAACGCAGAGCGTAGCGCGACGTTGCGCAATCCGTATCGTGCCATTAAGGATGCACTACAACGTCACGAGCGGCAGGCGCAGCAGTTGAACCCGGACCGGAACGTCAATCTTAAGAAACAGAAGTCATCCGATCAACAAGAAAAACAACAACAGCAGGAAAAGGAGGAAGAGCGACACGGTAATGATGACGACGAGATTGACGCGTTTGAATTTGATGAGGAAGGCGAGCGTGAGGGCATGGCTGCCACCGATGAGAATCCGTTGCCTGTCACAGAGGCTGAGTACGAATTGCCGGAGATGGAGGAGGACCACTCCGACAATGCGGACAGCGATTGCGAGGCGCCAGAGGACACGTCACGGCGCCGTCGTAAACCGGCCGTTGACACAACACTCAACGAGGAGAGCGACGACGAGAATGATGAAGATTCAAAGAAGGATGCCGACAAAAGGAGAGGCAAGCGGCGTGTTAAAGTCGTTGCTAAAATACACAATGATGATGATGATGACGAAAGGGAGAAAGAAGAGGAGGAGGACGTTAACGGGTTTGAGCAGCAGCAAGATACATTGGCTGAGGGGGAAAAGATGAGTCGCGGCCGAAAGCTTTGGCAGGAGCAAGTGGCAGCCGTTCAGGGGTTGTCGCACCACCTTTGTGAACAACTGCGTCTCATTCTTGCACCCACGTTGGCGGATAAGCTGCAGGGCGACTACAAGACGGGCAAACGTCTGAATATGAAACGGATTATTCCCTACATTGCTTCACAGTTTAAGAAGGATCGTATATGGTTGCGGAGGACAAAGCCAAACAAGCGTAATTATCAGATACTCGTTGCACTTGATGACTCCTTTAGTATGCAATGCAACAATGCCGGTGTGATGTCGTGTCGTGCGGTGGCTCTCCTTGCTGAGGCGCTACGGCAGCTTGAGGTTGGGGAGTTGGGTATTGCTTGCTTTGGAAAAGAGACACATATTGTGCATGAGTTACACGAACCCTTTACGGGAGAAAGTGGTCCACGTGCCTTCAGTGAGGTGACTTTTGCACAAAAGTCAACGAGTTTGAAAATTCTTTTGGAGACGTCATTGGATTACTTGGACGCCGCGCGGGAGCGCATGCACGGACAGACACGATCCACCACACAGCAGTTGCAACAGATGATGTTTATAATAAGTGACGGTCAGATCACGGAAGATCGTTTGGAGCTGCGCAGGCTGCTTTTGCGAGCGGAGGAGAATCGTCAAATTGTTGTGTTTGTGCTTCTTGATGTCAAGGCTGCTGCTGCTCCCACCGCTGCTTTCGGCGGTGGTGGTGTGGCTTCTGTCGGGGAGAGTTGTGTGGCGCAGAAAGAGACTGGAAGCCTATCTACCGCCCCTCTTGCCGCAAAGGACCTCTCCCAACTTTCCCCTGCGGAGCGCTTGCGGCGACTCAAGGCCGAAAGAGAGGCGCGTCTTCATCGCGTGCAGTCAAGCTCCGTCCTGGACATGCAGCTAGTGGAGTTTAAGGGCGGTAAGGTGGTGCGCCGCTCGTATATGGAGGAGTTTCCATTCCCGTATTATCTTATTGTCCGGGAACTTGAGGCGCTGCCAGGGGCCATTGCAGACGCCATGCGTCAGTGGTTTGAGTTGCTGAACGTGCAGCAGTGAGTCCCACTCCGTCTTGCACGTGAATTTTTTGTGCACGACGGAACAGCAACAAAAACAACAACAAATAAAAGCAAATAAATTAAAGAAGAAAATAATAATAGATAAAAAAGAAGGGATGAAACGCGTAAGCAGAACTTGTGGTGGTATTATCTCCTTGCCATCTACATTTTTTATCCCCCCCTTTTTTTTCGTTGATTTGAATGAATAGGACGAGAAGAACCCAATCAAATAAAAGGACAAGAAAGAAGACACATGAATAACACTTTAAGTACACATATATAAACGCTGTATACATTTTATTGTGCTAATGTCATTATACTGTCATGTGCGCTATGTGTGTGTGTGTGTGTATTTTGCCACCTGCTGGATACTTCCATCATTACATGAGCCAATTTCTTTTTTTTTTGTTTTTTTTTTGGGGGGGGGGGTTTGTCCTTACCTTGTGGATTTACTTTTATTGTAGTACTTTTGGAACACTGAAGAACGGGGTGGTGAGGGTGCACTGAGTGAGGAAACGATTAGGGTCTTGTACAAGCAAAAGAGTTTAAATTAGTCCCACGGCCCACGGGTGAAAAACAGGGTTTCGGCGGTTGTATTTAAGCATGGAGACTGTTGATGCATTGGATTACAGTGAACTGGTTGCCTTAAACCAGGAGGAGGCACTGCGCCGCGTTCTCGCGTCGTACCCTCGCATTGGCCTGCAGGCGACAGAACTCGGACGGGCGCGAAGAATTGTACAGCGGGCGCTCTACCACAAGCGTGCCGGAGACGCCGTTTTCCTGGCGTACACGTCGAACCTCATATCGAGTGGCCTGCGTGACACGTTTGCATGCCTGGCGCGGGATCGACTCATTGATGGTTTTATTTCAACCGCAGGAGGGATTGAAGAGGATGCCATCAAGTGCCTTGGGAAGACACTCGTGGGGCAATTTAGCTTAGATGGGCGAGAACTCCGGAGATGTGGCGTCAACCGCACTGGCAATCTTCTGGTGCCAAATGACAATTATTGTCACTTTGAGAACTTTTTTATGCCCGTGTTGAAGCATCTTCATGAACTGCAACGTGAGTCTCGCTGGGAAACAATGACGGCGCCATCTGAGATGATTGCGGCGATTGGCGCGGCGCTTGGGTGCAAGCACCCGGAAACGTGCAGCGATAGCCTTCTTTACTGGTGCTACCGAAACAACATTCCCGTCTTTTCACCCGCTCTCACGGATGGTTCCATTGGTGACATGATTTACTTTTACAATTATTCCAAGAAGGGACTTGTTCTGGACCCCATTGTTGATGTTGTGCGACTGCGTGAGTTGGGTTGCCGCAACCGCCGGTGCGATGACAGTCAGGGCGGTAACAGGAGTCAGAATAATAATGGGCGCACCACGTGCATTGTGTTGGGTGGTGGACTGCCAAAGCATCACCTGCTGCAAAACGTCCGCGCAGATACAGTGGTGTATGTATCAACAGGACTCGAGGTGGATGCTTCCCCCAGTTCTTGCAATGTGGCGGAGGACAGGGCTAACGGCGTGTTGCTGGATAACTGTGAAGTGGTGCGTGTGCATGGCGATGCGTCGTTTGTGTTTCCCCTTCTTTTGTGCAAAGCAGAGACGTCTGCAGACACCCATAAAGATGTTGCCGCGTGATGAATAACATTGGCACACGCTTCTATATTTTTTTTGTTCAACCCCGAGATATCATAAGGAAGGGAGGTACACAAGTACACATGAATAAAATGAATAATAAACATGGGAATGCGGTGGAGGCTGGCTTTTTGCTTCTTTGCGAGGGGCTCAGCTGTTTTTTTTTTATTCCCAAAAAAAAAAATATTTTTTATTCCCATTTTTTATTACGTTTTCTTTCTCTCTTCTTTTTAAAAAAAGCAACGGAAGCAAAAAAGGAAGGATGAGGTTTTTACTTTTTGGCTTATTTGCCCTGCTGGCCATGACTGTGGTGGTCTCCGATGCCGCCTCAGAGGTGTACGAACTGCAGCGTCGCGTGGGAGTTGCGGGTGACTGGGAGTTTATCAGCAGTATGACGATTTCACGTGGCCCCGTTGGTGCCACTGCGAAGCTGAAACAGAACAAAGACGCACAGGATTCTGGAAAAGATATTGATTTGACGAAGGAGAAGAAAACGGCGCTGGCAAAGGCGCAGTTTGTTTACTACCGTCTCGTGCGTAAAGGCGACAAGGATGGTATCAACGCCGTGTCTGTGGTTCTCACGCCATGTTCTCTGGTTCGCGACTTTGACGCTTTGGACTCTCGCACCGTCGTGCTGCGGGAGTCGCTGCGTGTGGCCGTTGGCCCCGACGCGACGGTCGTAGGGCTTCAGGCGACCAGCGGGACAAACACATTTCATGCAAAGATGCTCAACGGTGACGAGTGTGACCTCAGCATCCTCTCGCTCTTTCCGAATGTTCGGATGCGTGTCAGCGTTGGCCTGGTGGAGCCGACAGCGCCACGCAGCCTGCCGGACTACGCTGAACTCGACACGATTGCACGACTCAGCGATTCGAAGTCAACTGGCAGCAAAGACCGCAAAGGCAAGAAAAGTGGCGCCGCCCCCTCCTCCTACGGGGACCACCCTTCAGAACAACAACAGGCGGGGGTTTTGGGGGAGAAAGACGAGGGGGAGGAGCCAGAGGAGGATAACCGTACATTTCTTCAGAAGTATTGGACGTTTCTTGTGATTCCGTTTTTAGTGAGTGTTATTCAAGGTCTTCTTTCAAAGAGGCAATAAATGACTTTTATGAAGAGCAAAGAGAAGGACAGAAATAGCGACGACGATAAAAACAATAACAAACAAACAAACAAGGAAAATAGAAGAAGTGACAAACATCGATGACAACGGCACGGAAGCAAACCATAAGAAAGGCAAAGAAGAAAACACAAACACGGCAAAAAAAAAAAAAAGAAGGGAAAAGACTGCAGTGGGGCGTAAAGGAAAAGAATTGGAGGGGTGGTGATGCCCAAGAAAGGAATATAACTATTTTTATGCATGCATTTCTGAGGGTATCTCTTCACCGAGCGCACAGCTGCGTGCGTGACATTCATTGTATTCTCTATGAATGTGGAGGTGCCAAACCTACCATGGTCATCTGTCGTGTGGTCTAACGCCTTATTTCTGCGGCTGTTGTGGTGATGTTTTTATTTATTTATTTTTTATTTAACTTGTTTTCTCTGTGGTGTGGGATCCATTCTACACAAAACTTAAAAAAAAAATAATTAAAACAAGAGCAGGTGCCTCTCCCTCTGGGCGCAAGTGTACTATTTGAATTGTGTAGATGTCCGATGCCAGGTTGCGGGGCGGGCCATTTTGCAGCGCCGTCTTGGACCACATTGCCGCCACCGAGACGGCCACTTCAGAGCTTGAGGAGTATTTGAAGGGCCTGCGTGCGCGCCATGAAGTTATAGAGCGGGAGTTAAAAGAGTTGGCGGAGGAGTTGCTGAAGCTCGGTTTTCGTCCAAGCATTGCCGCATTGCAGGAAAGGAGCCAGCAGTTACAGGCGGCATTTTACAAAGTAGATGAACTGAAAGAAACTATGGATCAAATCAATGAGCTTATTCTAATTGTTTTTGCCGCCGTGAAGGCGATTGACAGCGCACCAGATGTGATGGGGAAGGCCTCTTCGTTTTTGGCTTCCTTTGGACTTGCGCTGAAGAGCGAGCGGGTAAATGCGGGGCTGTGGTCACGTGTTCCCTCGTACGCGATGCTGAAGAGTCGCACACCAAAAGACTTCCTCAAGGGGGTCCGTACCGTCTTTGCTCCTCTTTGCCCAACTGATGGTTCCAGAGGAGATTGCAACAGGCTGTAGAATGCACTAAAAAAAAAAAAAAAAAGAGAGAGAGAGAGAGAGAGAAACAGTGCTGCTGGGGTTAAATGCGATGCGAGTGAGTTAGTGCCGCATTTTCTTTTTTCTTTTTTTTTCTTACCCCTTTTTTTGCTTCTTTTTTTGTTAATGCGGTTGACGGCGATGCATGCGCGCAGCTCTTTTTTTTGTGATTCTTTTTTTCTGTCCGTGTGTGTCTGTGTTTTCGTTGGCCGATTGTTTATTATTGTTATTATTATTATTTTATGCGCTTTTTTTTTTTTTTTTGCGCACCCACCACGTTTGTGTTCACGCACGGATGAATTGAAAAGGAGCCGTAGACTCATAGTAACGCTAGGATGTGGCGGCAGTCGTTTCTGCGACTGTGCAAGGGTGCGACGGCAACGGCGACCGGTAGCAATGGTGGTGGGCGTTGTGTGACGGAGGAGCTCGAAGGGAGAACGAACAACATCTTTTCCATCCGCAGAGCCCCGAATAGTTTGTACGAGGACAAAATGCACAGCAACAGCCTCACCGACCACCCGCTGACGCACCGAACGAGTCGCGACGAACTCGCGTACCGGAAACGGAAGCTGACGGAGAGGGGAAACTATGAACAGGCCGCCAAGGCGGAAGAGGAGGCGGAACGTCGCGACACCGAAGGCCGTGCAGGAGCTGAGACACGGGAATATTATAGCGCCATCTGTTTTGTGGTGCTTGGTTACTTGACTGCACATGGCGTTGTGTTCAAGCGGTTTTACCCTGACGATCTCCGGCCGTATTACTCCCCGGATCGCGGTTACTCGGACGACGTTGCGGCACGACGTCAAGACCTCGAGGCAGTCGATGAGCTCATAGGCATGAACGTGATGGAGAGCCTTTACAGTAAGCGTAAAGAAGTTTTTAAGAGCCAGATGGCATGAGACAACGTTCTACAAGGGAGGGGAAATGGATTTCACGCAGTTGTGTCTTCTTGTTCTTTTTGTTATCTGCATATATATATACTTTTCTGTTTTTTTGTGTGCCCTGCATGACATCAACAATGCTTGTATACAAATTCTTCTTGCTGGAAATTTGCTTTTACATTTTTCTGCTGTTCATGCTCTTTTTAAATTATTATTATTATTTTGTGTTTTAGTCGGTACTGCATGGAGGAGCGGGTGCCGCCCAATGCGTGGATCGCGTTGCAGGCATTTGTGGAAGATGGCAGCGTTGAGGCCGGGGCGTTTTTGCGCGACCTTCTTCGCCGGGCGGCTTTTACCGCGAATATAACTCGACGGAGTCTTCCGCCACTTTTCTTTAGGGAGGCAGTCATGAAGTTTTACGAGGGGACCCTGTCAGCTTCCTCTCTGCTTCTCGTGACAATTCTCAACCGTCTCTTCTGCATGCAGTTTATTCCAGACGCAATGGCACGTCCTGTCAATGACGAACGACCTTCCGACCTTGCCGACTTGCTGCAGTTTTACGTGGACTTTCTCGGCGCAGCCAATCTCCCAGCGCCAGTGATGGAGCAGACATACTTGTGTGTGTCATCGTTGCTTCTCCTACAGTCTAACTTAAGTGTGGTGGAAGCACTCTTGGCCGTCTTTGGAGGTGTCGTACCTGAGGTGGCGAGAGAAACCCGAAGTTTGATGAAGTTGTTGTCAGGCATGATGAGCGTGTTAAGCGACCATCGTGTTTCTATCGGTCCTGTGCGTCGCTCGACCCAGCGGATGCGCATACAAAATAACATGCACCTTCTATTGATTTCCATTATTGAGGAAGATGTGAGTGCGCAGGCGTCAATCATCACGCAGGGGGTGTCTTTCTTAATGGAGGTAAGCGTACACGAGCCGCAGGAAATCGCACCGTTATTCTGGGCCCAGTTGCCTTCCTCAACGTTTTGGCGGTTGGCGTTGGAGCGGCTGCATCAGGGGACAGCAAAGGAGGATATTCTTAGGGCCGTGTGTGCTGTGCTTCGAGCCATCACGGTGCTCGACGCCAGTGCAGTTTCACTTCTTTTGTCGGCGCTTGAAGTTGTGTTGGACAGCCGTACACATGCGCCCCTGTTGCACGTCTGCCGCATTATAACATCTTCTCTGGAGTCTTCCGTAGAGGAGGTTGTGGTGCGGTTTGGTACCGAGCATGTACTTTATCAAGCTTTGGCGTCGGGTGCGCAGACTCTGAAACGTGCTTTAGAGCAACCGGAGGCGGTAGTGGCGTCATCGTTGGAAGTCGGTTTGGCGCTGTGCGAGGGTCTCAGCGTCTTGTCGCAGGTGCTGATGCTTCTTCCCGTGCCAGAAATGGAATTGACCGACGACCCGGATGATTATGCGATTTTCGTGGAAGGAATCCAACGAAGAAACACGCAGAAGAAAGAGGCGTTCGGACGACTGGAGGGGTTTTTGAGGGGTTGCTTAGCGTCGTTGCTCGTATGGCTTGGGCGCTTGACTGCTCATGATGTGAGGAGTATTGCCGCGTACATCATCCAAAATGACAACGATGAGATGGCTGTGTGGCACGATGAACTTTCGGTGGCATTGTTTACGACTTATGAACGACTTTGCACTTTGCTTTCCCCTTCAGAAGATAAAGAGATACGGGCTCTAGCAGCAGTGGGCTGTTTAACTGTGGCTGCCTGGGATGCTGAGCTTTCCTACATCGCCTTGGTGCCATACGGTGATGCTGCGATTCAGCATCAGCAGCAACAACATGCCCCACTCATGCCGGTTGTTGTTTCTCGTCATCAGAGAAAATGGGGGCCTGAACAGAGGGAGTGTGTGGTTTCTTCACTGATGGCACTTTTGCGGGTTGCAGTTATGATTTCAGGCGATGTCGCAGCCGCTGCCGCCATTGGCGAGTCCTTGCGTGAGCTAAATGCTCCTTTTCTGCCATGTATAGCGGAATATCTTTGGCAAGGTCTTTATTTGCCTTGTGGGGACGACAAGACGCCGCGGAGTGTGCTTGCGTCTTATCTATCGAACATACTGGAGCAGGGTGACATCTCACTCCCTACTGGGGCTTTTGAGGACTCGCAAATGGACGATTACTCATTGGCTGAGCTGCGCTCTTGTGTGTTGAGGTCTCTGCAAGACGTTTTGCGTGTCATGGATTTGCTGCAGCGTATGGAGCCTGAAATTGTTCAGAGTCACCGTGTGGCTGAGCGGATAACGAAATGGGTGCAAAAAACCCTGGCCACAGGGTTACTAGAGATTGAACTGTACACTCGGGCCTTGCAGCAGTGGTATATTGTAAATCCCTTCCATTTTTGTATAACGTGGAGGCTGATGCGTCCATTGGAACCCACATCAGCGGCTGGGCTCCTTGCAGATGCATTGGAAAGGTTTGTTTCTTGCAAAAATGAATCGGGAGACATGAATTGGCCTATTGAGAGTGACTGTTTCTCCCCGTATGTGTTGGATACAATAGCTCAGAGCCCGTACGCCCCACGGCTTTACCGTGTCCTTTATTCTCTTATCTCGAGTAACACATATATGGGTGATGGCAGCGCACATTTCCGCCTGCGTGCGGTGGTTCGAGGCGGCAATACACTTCTCCAGAGTCAGTACTGCAGCCCCACTCTCACGTTTGAGCTGTTCTATGCGGCATCAAAGGAGTACGTTAAATTACGTCACGAGTTGTCGGCTGCGTCGTCGTGTTTGGGAACGGATAATGATGATGATGATGACGATGGTGATTTGCTGAGGGGTATTTCGATGCTTGGCAAAGTGGTGCGGATGGACGGAGTGCGGATTCCGTCGAATGCTCCTGCGTGGTTACACGAAGTGCGAAATGCCGTTGATGAATTTGAAATTCAGGGAGTTTTTAAGGCCATTTAATAAAAACTTGGGCACATGTTTTTCTTCCCATTCTCTGTTGTGTCTGTGTGGGGCATTTCTTTATTACGTCACCCACGTTGAGGTGCTCTCTTCCACTCCGTTTCTCTTTATTTATTTATTTGATTTTTTTTTTTTTTTTTTTTTCCCCTTTTTGCTGTCAGGAGGTATTCCGCAAGGGAGAGAGCTCTCAAGGAAGCGAAGAAATTTTAGGGGCCGCTTGTGGACGTAGGCACAATCGTAGCAGTTGGTCTTCGTGCTCCTTTTTTTTGTTGTTTTTTTGGCATTGGCTTTTTTTTTTTTTCTTGTGTGCGGTTCGTACGACACACGTGGCCTCTCGGACTTTCTCCGGTCCGCACCGCCCCTCTTTTGTTGCGAGGGATCAACTGGTGGTGGTGGTGGTGGTGGCGGTAGAGCGAAGGCAGTCGGTTTTTTTTTTGTTTTAAAAGTTTCTTGTTTTTAGATTTTTGAATTTGTTGAATTTTTTATTTTTATTTTTATTTTCCGCCGTCGGTAGTTTCCGTTTCTGCTTGCAACGTGAATGCCTCTTTACGTCAGTAAAGGGGAGTCGACAAAAACGACAACGTATTTATGGAGTAGCGTAATTCCCCGTGGGGATACTCCCCCACATGGCTGCTGCCATTCACTGGTGAACTACAAGGATGAATTTCTTGTTCTCTTTGGGGGTGGCGCCCTCCATTATGTATACAACGATGTATACTGCTTTGATCTCAAAACCTTTACGTGGACTTACAAGGAAACAATCAATGGGGACATAGTTGCCCCACGCATTAGTCACTCCGCCGTTGTGTATGGCGATAATATGTATGTGTATGGTGGATATCATTTATATATGCCTGTACTATTCTCGGAGGTTCTTGTACTTAACTTGAAGACATTTACCTGGTCATGTTTACATCATGCACCGCCAGAACCAGAAGGCCCGGGAGAACGACGCCTACACAGTGCTCATGTGTACCGCGATCACATGTACGTTCTAATGGGGGAGCCATGCAGTACGTCAACGTGTTTCTGGTATTTAGACTTCAATACACACAAATGGCATCCCGTACAATCTTTTGGTCTTTTCGGGAAGCCTATAGTACCATTGATAGGCCATAGTGCGCAGGTAGAGGGTGATTATTTATATGTCTTTGGGGGATATCATACACATACGATGTCTCAGACGGGAAGCTTTGTCTACAGCAATTCCCTTTTCTACTACCACTTCCCAACGAACATGTGGCGTGAGGTATTACCATATTGTGGCCCTCGCCCCTTTCCACGTTACTCTTCTGCGATGGTTGTGCTGCAAGGACGTGTGTACATCCATGGCGGTGACAACGACGGAAATGTCTACTTTGAAGACTTTTGGTGCATTCACACTAAGACACAACTTCCGCGGTGGATAGATCTTACTTTGAGCTGCGGGAAGGCACATCCAAGCGCTCGCAGCGGCCACGCGTATGTTCTTGCTCAAGGCTCACTCTTTGTCTACGGTGGAGAGTTGCCAGGGGACACGGATGTGCTTTACTACTCAAATCGTTTCTATCGTTATCCTTTGGGCCTCTTCACACATTTGTCATTGACGGAGCTGGCCTCCCGCTGGCTGGCGAAATCCAATCAGGTGAATGTAAGGGTACTTCAAGAGTGCATTCCTCGCGGGCCGAGGGCGGCGTTGTCTCGCAACTCACCGGAGGCGGTAACGGAGGACGTGGATGCACTTATGCCATGCACCAGATCGCTGTGAATACGAAGGGATTGTGTGGGGGAGCACGAAGAAAAGGGCGGAGAAGTACCGCCGGCCAGTCACATATTTGCACTGACAGAATTTGAAAAAAAAAAAAAAAAAAAAAAACATTAAAATAATGATATATACATATATATCAAAATAAAAAGTAAAACAGTCAAACAAAGGCGGATTTTTTCTTTAAAAAAAAAAACTTTTTTTTTGTTGTCATTACCCTTTTTTTCCATCCCTGCTTGCTGGTATTTTATGTTATTTTATTTTTATTTTTGCTTCTCATTGTGGGGGTATTTTGCTTGCCGCGTGTTTTGTGCTTTTCCTTCTGATTGCTGCTCTTCTGCACGCACTTTATCTGCTCTTCTACAAATTGTGATCGTTTGCAACCGCACCAGGGGAAGGGGAAAGAAAACAACAACAAGAGAAAGATACGATTGGCGGCGGCACTACTCCATTTGTCACAGGGGCGGGGCGGGGGGTGAAAAACAACAAAAAATGACGGGTCAAGCGCTGACGGTTCTCTCGTTGCTCTGCACACGGGCGTTGGTGGTACTCAGTGAGGCGGCGCCGTCCATGTCGACTGCACGATATTTAAGCTCCGTTGCTGCATCAACGGCCACACTGTCTTCCAACGCAACTGACGCGATGCTGCTGCGCTGTGCAAATGATTTTGTACAGCGGTTGGCCTCTCTGCTTCCGCTTCTTCGTACGGCGGAACCCCTCCAAGAAGATGTGGCGATTGGCATTTTTCGCATCGCCAAGAGTAATGGTAGTGGAAATATTTCTCCGGCTTGTATTGACAGCCTCTTGAAGGAGGTAGATGAACGGCTTGTGGGACCTCAGTTCGCAATTTGGAAACCGCAGACGGTTTTGGCGTCTCTTCATGCCATTGCCATCGCTTCGCCATCGGGGCCGTTGAAAATGGTGGACACTCTTCTTTTTTGTGCGAAGGAGCAAATCTCACAGCTTGATGAGCGAAAATCGGCCCGGTTACTGTGGTGTGTTGCCACGCTGCGGAAGGAATCAGCGCACGCCACCTTGTGGAGGTTGTTGTGTGGACGTCTTGTTCGTTTTTCAAGGGCCTTAACCTCTTCCAGTCGTTCTTTGGTGGTTGAGGCGCTCATTATTGTCCAAGAGTGTACGTGTGATGCACAGCATGAGTTGCTGTGTGTTCTGCATGAGAATCGTCTCGCAGTCCAAGAAGGGGAGGCATTTGACGGCGAGGAGGTGATGATGATGGGGTATGACTACCAGGCTCTCAAGGAGCGACTATTGTCGGATGTCCACCTGCTTTCTGTGGATTCTATTATTCATATGGTTTCCCAGGCCTTTGGCACATCCTCGGATGGCTCAGACGAGGCAAACTACTTAATTCAGCACCTTCTTTCTCGTCCCCTCAAGCCGGTGGTGTGCCGTGAGCTTCTGGAGCTTCTTGCAAAGGTTGGGAATAGTGAAGTTGCACAGTCACTTCGAATGAAGGCGGTCGAATGCATCCGCGGTGAGTACGGCCAGGGTTCCTTTGGAAAGCACGATCCCATACGCGATCTCGCTACCGTGAGCATCGCTTTTGCGTTGGAGCGACAACAAACCCTTGCTGTGAGCGCAGGGACAAGAATGCTTCTCGAGGACCTTATTGCGAGGTGCCATGGCATGAGTGATGGTGTGTGGGACCGCTATAGTGGTCGAGTCACGGGGGTGCTGGCGGTGGCGCTGGATGTGTTGGCATCTTTTGTCCAGACAGGTAAGAAACCACCGTCTCTCACCGGAATTTATCATCAACTTGAGCAATTCCCTGAATCATGGGAGCGAGGTTCTTCCCCCTCGGCGGTGATCACAGAGTGTGCTGCTTGCGTCTGCAGCGCATGTCATTTGCTTCGTGTCCTTTCTTTGCTGAATAGTCCATTTTCGACAGCGGCGCCACCATCTTCTGTAGAGACGGCGACGTTAGGCGATGGGAACGGCACCCATGGAAGTCTTACAGAGGCGTTGCTGCGGCGTTGTACGGATGTGTTTTCTCGGGAGGGCACGCTACTTCCCCGTGCTGTTGTGTTTGACATGTGGCGAGCCTCCACTGGGGTGGAGGGGACAAGTTCCGCCGTCCTGCAGCCGCTCATGGAGTTGCTATTGAATTACACGGAGAAGCATCCTGCGGACTTCCCACTGCGAGAAGTTGCAAAGTTTTTTGGGACCGATTGCCATCGTTTTCCTGCGGAGGCCTTTGAACTTTTCGTGCGATGCCTGAGGAATGAGTCTGACAACGTCGCGTCATCTCACCTGGACATGTTGGTATCGTCAATGGAGGGTGTTGCGGCTCGAGGAGACAAGGCGCTGCTACAGCGGCTCCAGCTGATGCTCTTTCTTCGCCCAATTGGTCACGAAAAGGCACTCATACATGCCGTTTTATTTAAAACGCCTCAACTGGTGCGATTGTTCAACTGCTGCAACACTGCATCCGACCTGACAGCTTCCATGCAGGCTACGCTGCTTGAGCTAATGGTCAGTTCCTGCGGGCGCTGCACGACGATGGAGGAGCTGAACACGGCGGCGTCGCTTCTTCCGCACATTGAGCGTGGGGCACTGAAGGACGCACTTGCGTGGGCGCTTGCGGCCAATGCGCAGCGGATGCATCCAGCGGTGACACCCGATGTGCAGAAGGCGCTGTTGATTGTATATCTTCAGAAAGGAGGTGTCGCTGTGGAAGAAGATCTTCTGCAGGCGCTGAGACGTCGGGCTTAGACCGCCCGCTCAAAACACTTACCCAAGAAGAGGAGGAAAAAAAAAGCAACAAGAAAGGAAAAGAAACAAGAAGACAGGGAAAAGAATAAGTATGGCGGTAACAATACGAGAGGATACGGACAATCGGGATCGTACCACCGTAGACGCAAACCGAAGCAATAGGTAGATAAGAGATGTTGCTTTTATCGTTGCCATTTTTTTTTTGTTTTAATCAACGGTTGATTCCCTTGTTTTTTTTTAATTTATTTATTTATTTATTTATTTTTTTGCGATTTTGCCGGAATGGTTGTCACGCAGTAGTCACAAGAACCGCCCAGAAAAGGGAATTAAAATAGGCGTTAAATAAGGGGGATATTGGATGGAATAACGAAGGAATGAATGTCCTTGTCAATGGCAGTCCATACCGCAGCAGGACAGGAACGTTAGAAATTAAGCGGCGCTTTGGTTTTGGTGCCGTTCTTGTCAGTTACGAGGGGAATAGACCGTGCATAGCTCCCGTGGATGCGTTGGGACGATTTTTGGTTCGTGACGGCTGCTCATATGATGTGTACTCCCTGCAGACCGGTGAATCCAGTCTTATGACTAGATTGGCCTTACAACGCGATGCGAGACTCTCACAGCGCGAAACACTCTTGTCAGAGGTGTCGTCTCAGCTACCGGAGCGCAAGAGAGTTCGCAGCATCACTGCGAAGACCCCGAGGCGCAAAGGGAATTATGTGCGTTTTGTGCAAATCTTTTTGAAGAGTTTTCAGTCTGTCTCATTTGCGGACGCGGCGAAGGAATGGCGGCTTTTTTCTGAGGAGTTGAAGCGGACGGCGCCTGTCGAAGAATTGTTGGAGCGCGTGCGGGCGAAAGGGGCGTATCAGCCCTATTTGGCCTGATGTCGCGATGTCGTCTGTTTTGTGGCTGTTTTGTTACGCTTGTTTACTTTCACTGAAACAATCTCCTCATCTTCTTTTTTTTTTTTTTTCTCTCTCCTGTTTTTTTCTCTTAATACGACATTTATGCACCCTAAATGGAAGCGAATCAATAACGTGAAGATATACCGTTACCTGGATGTTACGTGGCGTCTTATTTGTGGCTTTGTGTTACTGATCTATTTTTCCTTTTCAGCGCTCCCTCTTCCACCTTCTCTCTCTCTCTCTCTTCCCCCCTCCTGGAAACAGCAGCAACAACAACAAAAAACCAATAGACAAGGGAGTTACGCTTTCCTGTAAACGCGGCGGCAGTATCGGGTGAAAGTAATGGATTACCGGGGCCGCGCTATTGCCTTGTACCAGTGCTACGCGCCGGAAAAGATGGCCGGCGTTGATGCGCAGCTTTCGAAGTACGAGGGCCGTGAGGAGGAGTTTATTCAGGCTATTATCAACAAGTACGGTCCAGAACCGGATTCTGCGGAGGGAATTGCCGAGAATGAATATAATGCCCAAGAAGGGGAAGAAGATGAATGGTATGCGTACTATCGCCAGCGTCTCGTGAACTTTTACACCGTTTACGCCTCAGAAAAGATTGATTCCGTCGACAATCAGCTTAAAAAATACGCTGGACGCGAAGAGCCACTTTTTGAGGCTTTGGTAGCCAAGTATGGACCCGAGCCGGAATACGAGAATGCCGATGAAAATGAAAAAGAAGCGGCTGATAAGAAGAACCTTGCTTATGAAAATGCCGGTGAAAATGAAAATAAAACGGGTAATAAAGAGAAACTTTCTTATCGTGACAGAGTTGTAGCGTTGTACAACTTGTATGTTCCCAGCAAGCTGGGTAACGTGGACGCGCAGTTGGAGAAGTATCGTGGCCATGAGGAGGAGTTCATTGCTGCACTGGAGCAGAAGTATGGTCCCGAGCCATCAGTTGCGGAGAGTGCCTCACCAGACTACCGCAGCCGTGTTGTGTCCATCTATGAGCGCTATGCCCCTGGCAAGCTGGGTGACGTGGACGCGCAGTTGGAGAAGTATCGTGGCCATGAGGAGGAGTTCATTGCTGCACTGGAGCAGAAGTATGGTCCCGAGCCATCAGTTGCGGAGAGTGCCTCACCAGACTACCGCAGCCGTGTTGTGTCCATTTATGAGCGCTATGCCCCTGGCAAGCTGGGTAACGTGGACGCGCAGTTGGAGAAGTATCGTGGCCATGAGGAGGAGTTCATTGCTGCTTTGGAGCAGAAGTATGGTCCCGAGCCATCAGTTGCGGAGAGTGCCTCACCAGACTACCGCAGCCGTGTTGTGTCCATCTATGAGCGCTATGCCCCTGGCAAGCTGGGTGACGTGGACGCGCAGTTGGAGAAGTATCGTGGCCATGAGGAGGAGTTCATTGCTGCACTGGAGCAGAAGTATGGTCCCGAGCCATCAGTTGCGGAGAGTGCCTCACCAGACTACCGCAGCCGTGTTGTGTCCATTTATGAGCGCTATGCCCCTGGCAAGCTGGGTAACGTGGACGCGCAGTTGGAGAAGTATCGTGGCCATGAGGAGGAGTTCATTGCTGCACTGGAGCAGAAGTATGGTCCCGAGCCATCAGTTGCGGAGAGTGCCTCACCAGACTACCGCAGCCGTGTTGTGTCCATCTATGAGCGCTATGCCCCTGGCAAGCTGGGTAACGTGGACGCGCAGTTGGAGAAGTATCGTGGCCATGAGGAGGAGTTCATTGCTGCTTTGGAGCAGAAGTATGGTCCCGAGCCATCAGTTGCGGAGAGTGCCTCACCAGACTACCGCAGCCGTGTTGTGTCCATCTATGAGCGCTATGCCCCTGGCAAGCTGGGTAACGTGGACGCGCAGTTGGAGAAGTATCGTGGCCATGAGGAGGAGTTCATTGCTGCTTTGGAAAGGAAATATGTTTACGGCAGTGGGTCTGCATTGCCGTCCTTATATGTAAGTGGAACTTTGTCGCCAGTTGTGTCAGAAAAGGCAGGTAGCTCACACCAAATGGTGCTTATGGGAATGGCCTTGACTACAATTATGGAAGAGGAGAGTGCCAGACGGCTGGAGCTGCTGGAGGCTTTTACTGCTGGATTGATGAGCTTCAGTATGGATGCCGAGTCCGAGAGGCGTTTGAAAGTGGAACATCAGGAGCAATTGGCGGCGGCTGTTTTTGAGGAGTTTTTTATTCGACTTCACATTATTGCTGAAGAGGCGATGGGCCATCCCGTATTGGAGCATCCGCACTTTCCGTTTGTGTCGGATAAGAGTGCGGATGCTGTGGCACGTTTCTTTGCGGCATTGGGCACGACAAATGTGAACGGCAAAGCGTTTATTGTGGCTTCAGCGTGTCGTCTTCTCTTTTTCGAGGCCGTTGGTGAGGAGTTGTTGGAGGAGCCACAAGGCGAACTTGTCTCGCTCGAGGAGTTCCGCCAGTTACTGACCCGCGCTTGTCACTGCGAGAAGGATGTCGTGGCGAGGTTGCAGAGTTTCGTGTCGATGGCAAAGCGACAGGAGCGACCTACAGTCCTCACGGCACCTCGGGAGCTTTGCGCGGGGTTTTGGGCCTACAGATGTGTGAAACCGTGCGTTGCGGAGGATTGGCAGCGTGTGTGGGTCGTGCTGGAGAATGACACACGGCTGGTGATCCGGCGGCCGAATATAAAGAAGCCAGAGCTGACAATCCCTGTCGGCCACGTGATTAAATGCCAGCTGTCTTCGATGCTTGGGACCCAGGCACCACGGTCGTGTGCCAAGAACGGATTGTACCTGCAGCTTTCAAGTGGCGTCAATCCCGTTTTGTTGCTGTTATGCCCTCAGCGTGTGGCGAATGCACAAGCGCTCGTCAAAATGTTTTTTCGCGGTGTTCCCCAAAAAACGTCGGGGATGACGAGAGATGTCGTCGCCGAAGCTAAAGATGCGCTGATGAATAAAGGTGAAGTTAAAATTTCACCTCCCGCTGCTGGTGAGATTTGCCGAACTGAGGACGCATGTGTTGCGACAATTGTGTGGTGTTGTCGCGGTGGCTGCAGTAAATTTGTTCGTTCCGTTTGGACTTTGGTGGGTGACTCCATCGTGCACCAAGCCGTGGGGGAAAAGGAGAATTTTACCTGGAGCCTGGCAACACTGAAGGATGTCTACCTCGTCAACGAGCTTGGCATGAGGCCACCGGTGCCCACTGCAAAACATGGTTTTGTTGTACTACTCGAAAAGGGATCGCTTTTCTGCTGCACGGAGACTGCTGCTGCTCGCGACGCGCTTGTCGGTTACATGAAGCGGGTGGTTTTCAAGCATTTCCTTCAGTCAAATCAAAAACGCGCCTCCGCTCTCACTTCACTCATGACGGAGGAAAGTAAAGAGGGGAAGGGTGGTGCACCTCTGGCCTCCGCGAAGCACAGAGTACCCGGCGTTGCTCATTCTTCATCTCGCTGATGACCGAAAATTTTTTTTTTTGTTGTTGTATTTTCTTTTGATTGTTATATGGGGGCGTCTTGGTTTTGGTCTCTGCACGCCCATTCGCACCTCTCTTTCTTGTCGTGCACTTTAATGACCTGTACCTGTGGTGAAAACCACAAAACTTTTTTAGTGTTTTCCGTTAGATAAGCGTCTGCGTGTCTTTTTTTCTCTCTCTCTCTCTTTTTTTTTCCCTATTCCTTTTTTTTTTTTTTTTTTTTTTTTTTGTGTGTGTGTGTGTGTGTATGCGCATTGGCAAGAACGTAATTTTTTTTTTGCCACTCCTGTTGGCATTTATGTTCTTTTTTTTTTTTTTTTTGTTTGTGTGTATTTATGTATGTATGTATGTGTATATGTGTGTCTCACTTTTGTGCCATTGGCTTTTGCCCGTTTTTGTTTTACCATGCAATTTTATGGCGTTACATTAATTTACTTCGACGGCGCTG